ATGTGCGTTGAAGGACATGTCCTGGTCAAAAATGACTCCAAGGTTCCTCACAGCGTTACTGGAGGCCAAGGTAATGCCATCCAGAGTAAGAATCTGGTTAGATACCATATTTCTAAGCTTTTCAGGGCCGAGTACAATAACCTCAGTTTTATCTGAATTAAGAAGCAGAAAGTTAGCGGCCATCCAGGTCTTTATGTCTTTAAGACATTCCTGCAGTTTAACTAATTGGTGTGTGTTATCTGGCTTCATGGACAGATAGAGCTGGGTGTCATCAGCATAGCAGTGAAAATGTATGCTATGTCTTCTAATGATGCTGCCTAAGGGAAGCATGTATAATGTAAACAGAATTGGTCCTAGCACTGAACCCTGTGGAACTCCATAATTAACCTCAGTGTGTGAAGAGGACTCTCCATTTACATGCACAAACTGGAGTCTATTAGATAGATATGATACAAACCACTGCAGTCGCAGTACCTGTAATACCTACAGCATGTTCTAATCGCTCTAATAGGATATTATGGTCGACAGTATCGAACGCTGCACTGAGGTCTAGCAGGACAAGCACAGAGATGAGTCCACTGTCAGAGGCCATAAGAAGATCATTTGTAACCTTCACTAAAGCTGTTTCTGTGCTGTGCTGAGCTCTGAAACCTGACTGAAACTCTTCAAATAAACCATTCCTCTGCAGATGATCTGTTAGCTGTTTGACAACTACTCTTTCAAGGATTTTTGATATGAAAGGAAGGTTGGAGATTGGCCTATAATTAGCTAAGACTGCTGGGTCTAGAGATGGCTTTTTGAGTAAAGGTTTAACTACAGCCAGCTTGAAGGCCTGTGGTACATAGCCGATCATTAGAGATAGGTTGATCATATTTAAGATCGAAGAATTAATTAATGGCAGGACTTCTTTGAGCAGTTTTGTAGGAATGGGGTCTAAAAGACACGTTGATGGTTTGGAGGAAGTAATTATTGAAGTTAACTCAGAAAGATCAATTGGAGAAAAAGAGTCTAACTTAACATCAATGGTACTAAGAGTAGCTGTAGATAATATTACATCTGTGGGATGATTATTGGTAATTTTTTCTCTAATGATAAAAATTTTATTTGTGAAGAAGTTCATGAAGTCATTACTAGTTAACGTTAAAGGGATGGTTGGCTCAAAAGAGCTCTGACTTTTTGTCAGCCTGGCTACAGTGCTGAAGAGAAACCTGGGGTTGTTCTTATTTACTTCAATCAGTGACTGAATAGTAAGATGTTCTGGCTTTGCGGAGGGCTTTCTTATAAAGCAGCAAACTATTTCTCCAGGCTAAATGATGATCCTCTAGATTTGTGACACGCCATTTCCTCTCCAGATTACGAGTCATCTGCTTTAGGGTACGTGTTTGAGAATTATACCACGGAGTCAGGTACTTCTGATTTGAGACCTTAGTTTTCACAGGAGCTACAGTATCCAGAGTCGTACGTAGTGAGGAGGTGAAATTATTAACAAGATAATCGACCTCTGTTGGGGTAGCGTTCAGATAGCTGCTCTGCTCTATGTTGGTACAGGGCATTGAAGATGATAACAGTGGGTGGATTATATTCTTAAACTTAGTTACAGCACTTTCAGAAAGACATCTACTTTGATAAAGTCTACTCTTCACCGCTGTGTAATCAATTATTGTAAATGTAAATGTTATCAGGAAATGATCAGACAGGAGAGGGTTTTCAGGAAACACTGTTAAATGTTCAGTTTCTATGCCATATGTTAAAACAAGATCTAGAGTGTGATTAAAGTGGTGGGTGGGTTCTTTTACATTTTGAGAGAAGCCAATTGAGTCTAATAACAGATTAAATGCCATGTTGAGGCTGTCATTTTTAGCATCTACATGGATGTTAAAATCACCCACAATAATTATTTTATCTGAGCTCAGAACTAAATTAGATATAAAGTCTGAGAAATCAGACAGAAACTCTGTGTAAGGCCCAGGTGGACGATAGATGATAACAAGTAAGACTGGTTTCTGAGTTTCACAGCTGGGGTGGACGAGGCTAAGCATCAGGCTTTCAAATGAATTAAAAGTCTGTCTTGGTCTTTCGTTAATTAATAGGCTGGTGTGAAAAATTGCTGCCACACCGCCCCCTCGGCCTGTGCTTCGAGATTTCTGGTAGTTAGAATGACTCGGGGGTGTTGATTCATTTAAACTAACATAATCATCCTGCTGCAACCAGGTTTCTGTAAGGCAGAGTAAATCAATTTGTTGATCAATTATTAAGTCATGTACTAACAGAGACTTGGAGGAGAGAGACCTAATATTTAATAATCCACATTTCACTGTTTTACTCTTTGGTTCAGATGTGGATACTGTATTGTTCTTTCTTTGTAATTGTTTATGTTTAAGTTGTTTGTTGCTGGTTTTTAGTTTGTTTTTTGTCTGTTTGGGAGCTGACACAGTCTCTATGGAGATGGGTTTTTGGGGGGTAGCAGGAGGAGAGAAGCTGCAGAGAGGCGTGTAAGACTGCAACTCTGCTTCCTGGTCCCAACTCTGGATAGTCATATTTTGGGGGGTTTAATAAATTTGTCCATATTTCTAGAAATGAGAGCTGCTCCATCCAAAGTGGGATGGATGCCGTCTCTCCTAACAAGACCAGGTTTCCTCCAGAAGGTTTGCCAATTATCTATGAAGCCCACATCGTTTCTGGGACACCACTCAGACAGCCAGCAATTTAAGGAGAACATGCGGCTAAACATGTCACTCCTGGTCTGATTGGGGAGGGGACCAGAGAAAACTACAGAGTCCGACATTGTTTTGGCAAAGTTGCACACCGATTCAATATTGATTTTAGTGACCTCCGATTGGCGTAACCGGGTGTCATTACTGCCGACGTGAATTATGATCTTACTGAATTTACGTTTACCCTTAGCCAGCAGTTTTAAATTTCCTTCAATGTCGCCTGCTCTGGCCCCTGGAAGACAATTGACTATGGTTGCCGGTGTCTCTAGCTTCACATGTCTGAGAACAGAATCGCCAATTACCAGAGTTTGACCCCCGGCGGGTGTGTCGCCGAGTGGGGAAAAACGGTTAGACACATGAACGGGTTGGTGGTGTACCTGGGGCTTCTGTTTAGGACTATGCTTCCTCCTCACCGTGACCCAGCCGCCCTCTTTCCCCAGCTGCTTGGGATCTGCCGGGGAACAGCTAGCGGGGCCTACGCTATCTTCGGCTGCACCAGCTACAGGGGCCTGGCTAGCTACGGGTGAATGAAGGGTGCGAAGCCGAGTCTCCAATTCAGTAATCCTGGCCTCCAGAGCTGCAAATATGCTACATTTGTTACAGATATCATTACTGCTAAAGGAGGCCGAGGAGTAACTAAACATCTGACACAATGAGCAAGAAAGTGCAGGAGGGACAGGTGAAGTAGCCATGGTGCTAACGAGTCGGCTACGAGCTAAGCTAAGCTAGCGAGAACAGTACAGAGACAGTGAGTGAATACTTTGGCTATAAATTAGGTAGTGAGTACACAGAAAGTGTGCTTCGGATGAAGCACGTGAAGATTATACTATGAAAGAAGAATGTATTTAAAAGTTGTTAATTAAATTGCTAAGCAAATAAGCTACTCAGAAACCACTGTGTTTGAGCAGGAACAGGAAGTGATACTCTACCACAGAAGCGAGCGAACACCAAGTGACAGCGCCACCAAGAGTCACCCTCTTGGTGACTCTTGGTGGCGTTAGTGGCGTTATGCACTGTTAGTTGATTATTTACCTGCCCATTAACGGAGAGAGGACGTGCAAACGTTACCGCTGCTGCTGGGTTGAGATTCACTGAGTCCAGAGCGGAATTAAAAACACGACATTCATTTAAGGTATCGCGTGTTTTGTGAGCAAATGCTTTTGCATATTCGTAGTGTTTCCTCCCTTAAATGAAATATCTACTTTGCAAGTATTGCAAGTTGCCCTGTTGTCATCCGTTCTCGTAAAGTATAACCAAACTTTTGAGCGTTTGAGCCGCCGTGTTTCCTGCCAGGTAAATGACGCTCCGCAACGTGGTGACGTCATTCGGGGCGACTGGAATCGATAAGGGAATCGTTTGCAAAAATGGCAAACAATTCCAAGGAATTGAAACAGTGGGAACTGGTTCTCAACAAGAACTGGTTTTCGATACCCGTCCCAAACTGCCATGTGTTAAATCCTCCCAATTCTTTCGATCTTTGGGCTGAAGGAAGGACAATACTCGGTGTATAAATGCTCAATCAACAATTACTTTATTACATACAATTCAACACTTTTGAGCACAAACCATCTGGATGGAGAGGGTCACAGCAAATCTCAAAATGGTGGAGGGTTACTCAAACTCTTATAGCCTCTGATGGCCCCCAGCTAGTCGTAAAATCCTAACATTCACATGTTTTCTAACTCCTGGCTGAGCCTGACTTATGGCCTCGGCTCCCTGTTTTACTTCTTGCAGAAAACAGGTGGGGGTGAAACTCCTGTGGAATGTGGTCCGTCTCCTCCATTATCAGACAACAAGGCCCTCTGCACACAATATCCTCTTCTTAACTCAGCAGTATGAAATGTCATGAAACAGTGTCATTCATTCACAGTAAATCAACAGTATAGGATAATATAAACCTATCTAAGAAATCTAATGATTTTCACATTTTTCTTAATTCAGAAGTATAATGTAAACTAAAACTACTGATCATACTCTCCATAATAGGTATGATGTGGCTTACAGCAGTATAATGATTCACTCATTTCGATTACAGGCATAGGATAACATATGATAGAATAATAATCTCACACATGCTACAACACGTTTATACAGTCAGTGTTACCGTGGTTTGATATTGCTTTCAAGCATGAATAGCCTGTTTAAAGTCAAGACAGACAATTAGTGCCTCTCAGTGTACTTTGTCCCAGCTTGCATCTTACATCCTATAGATTTACGGATGTGCTCTTACGCAAACAAGCTCAGGTGAGCGAAATAATTTATTGGTTGCTCGCAGTCATGGGTGTGTGCACACTTGCCTGAAAAGGTTTCAGTGTATTTCCATAACAAGGAAGAGTAACATTAAATAAATTCATTCTTCCAGCAGCACAGCAGAGGACTCTTTAGACACACAGGTTAGTACAATTTCAGTTACCTTAAAATGGCAGCAGATTATAAGATGAAATAATCAATTATCATAATCAATGATTATTGTAACTGCTTCAGATATTCAGATGCAGTTTTTGTGTTGATTTTACATAATTATAGTAAAGCTCATATATTTTTGCCTTTTATGTTTATTGCTTTTAAATTTGTCAGAAGTGTGGCACTATTTAACTGGCAGTGTGTCTATTTTAACACTAGCACACAGGAACGAGTTCTGTAATGTGTGACTGGTTAATCAGCGCACTTCTTTTCTACATTTGCATGTTATTTTTATCTAACAGTAATATTCCAGTGAGATCAGGGTTCAACATCTAAGTACACTTTGGCATGCAGACAGGAGCAGGCAGTTTTTAAACCTTCCAGTGAGTAGATGATCTACTCTAACTCCTGAGCTCATTTTTTGTCAAGCCAAACATGGGTACAATCAGAGATGGGCAGTAACACTTGTAATCAGATTACTTTTATCAAGTAATGAGTAAAGTAAGGGATTACTATTGCAAAAAGTAATTAGATTACCCTTACTTTCCCGCAAGCATGCTGCATTACTGCGTTACTACACTGTGATTTGGTTTGTGAGTGTCTCATGACAATGACATAAGCAAGTGCGACGTTCATGGTAACAGACATGGGCAGAGCAACAATGGATAATATATAGAGGGCAGGAGAGAGTACGACTGTGCAGCATTTAAAGCATGGAAGTACTGACCTTAGTTTGAGTTTGATTCTGTAAAAAGTGACAAAAACATTAGCATCCGCTGTACACTGTGTGAGAAGTAAACTTCTTTTTACAGTGTAAAAAAAACCCTAATCTACAGAGCAAGTATCTAGCACGCTGCCACGGGAATGTGAAATTCACAGAGAAACCACTGGATCTCCCCACTGACATGACCGCTGCAGCACTGGGCAAAGCTCCGGCTGTTCCACTTCTACTAAAAACATGTTGAAATATGCAGAAAATTGGTTTAAATATTAAACAATTTCTTCATGTCAGAGAGGTGTTGCATACAGGGAGTGCAGAATTATTAGGCAAGTTGTATTTTTGAGGAATAATTTTATTATTGAACAACAACCATGTTCTCAATGAACCCAAAAAACTCATTAATATCAAAGCTGAATGTTTTTGGAAGTAGTTTTTAGTTTGTTTTTAGTTTTAGCTATTTTAGGGGGATATCTGTGTGTGCAGGTGACTATTACTGTGCATAATTATTAGGCAACTTAACAAAAAACAAATATATACCCATTTCAATTATTTATTTTTACCAGTGAAACCAATATAACATCTCCACATTCACAAATATACATTTCTGACATTCAAAAACAAAACAAAAACAAATCAGCGACCAATATAGCCACCTTTCTTTGCAAGGACACTCAAAAGCCTGCCATCCATGGATTCTGTCAGTGTTTTGATCTGTTCACCATCAACATTGCGTGCAGCAGCAACCACAGCCTCCCAGACACTGTTCAGAGAGGTGTACTGTTTTCCCTCCTTGTAAATCTCACATTTGATGATGGACCACAGGTTCTCAATGGGGTTCAGATCAGGTGAACAAGGAGGCCATGTCATTAGTTTTTCTTCTTTTATACCCTTTCTTGCCAGCCACGCTGTGGAGTACTTGGACGCGTGTGATGGAGCATTGTCCTGCATGAAAATCATGTTTTTCTTGAAGGATGCAGACTTCTTCCTGTACCACTGCTTGAAGAAGGTGTCTTCCAGAAACTGGCAGTAGGACTGGGAGTTGAGCTTGACTCCATCCTCAACCCGAAAAGGCCCCACAAGCTCATCTTTGATGATACCAGCCCAAACCAGTACTCCACCTCCACCTTGCTGGCGTCTGAGTCGGACTGGAGCTCTCTGCCCTTTACCAATCCAGCCACGGGCCCATCCATCTGGCCCATCAAGACTCACTCTCATTTCATCAGTCCATAAAACCTTAGAAAAACCAGTCTTGAGATATTTCTTGGCCCAGTCTTGACGTTTCAGCTTGTGTGTCTTGTTCAGTGGTGGTCGTCTTTCAGCCTTTCTTACCTTGGCCATGTCTCTGAGTATTGCACACCTTGTGCTTTTGGGCACTCCAGTGATGTTGCAGCTCTGAAATGTGGCCAAACTGGTGGCAAGTGGCATCTTGGCAGCTGCACGCTTGACTTTTCTCAGTTCATGGGCAGTTATTTTGCGCCTTGGTTTTTCCACACGCTTCTTGCGACCCTGTTGACTATTTTGAATGAAACGCTTGATTGTTCGATGATCACGCTTCAGAAGCTTTGCAATTTTGAGACTGCTGCATCCCTCTGCAAGATATCTCACTATTTTTGACTTTTCTGAGCCTGTCAAGTCCTTCTTTTGACCCATTTTGCCAAAGGAAAGGACGTTGCCTAATAATTATGCACACCTGATATAGGGTGTTGATGTCATTAGACCACACCCCTTCTCATTACAGAGATGCACATCACCTAATATGCTTAATTGGTAGTAGGCTTTCGAGCCTATAAAGCTTGGAGTAAGACAACATGCATGAAGAGGATGATGTGGACAAAATACTCATTTGCCTAATAATTCTGCACTCCATGTATTGTTTAATTTTTGCTTGATGCAATGTGCATAAAGTTAAAAGATTAAAACAAATAATACAAGTTTTAAAGAGACTTTATCATTTGATTACATTTTACATGATCAATTGTGCATAAAAAATGGAATTGGGCTGAAAGGTCCATTGCTTTATTACCTATTCAGGTTGTATATCATGTTTTTAATAACTAAGTAACTAATTACTTTTGAAAATAAGTAATCAGTAAAGTGACGTGATTACTATTTTGGAGAAGTAATTAGTTACTAATTACTTTTTTCATGTAACTTGACCAACAGTGGGTACAATAGCTATCTTCATGTATTAGATGCTTTTTATTGCCAATGTTTGAAAAGATGTTACAATTCATCAGCCATTCCCAGAGTCAAGAGTTCTATACCCCACTTACAAACCCGAAAATCCTACGTCACATTGAATCTTAAATCTTCAGTCTAATCAAAATACAAGAAAATGGATTTATGTAATGATTATATTACCTTAAACATTTATGAAGAAAAAAACATACAAACAACAAAGACTGCTGTGTTAGGAAACCTGGGACATTGACCCAGAGTTTAGAGTTTTCTTTACTATTGTACTTTGATTCTGCAATTATTTATTGTTTCTAGTCTTTTGGCTTCTTTGTTAATGTTGTGGTTTCTGTCTGTGTTTCTTAGTTGCTCTGTCTCCCCTTCCTGCTATGTCCCCTTGTCAAGTCCACGTCTCTGTGTTATTTTGCTGTTTTACTTTGAAAGTCCATGTCTAATGTTAATGTATCTGGTTTTGCTTCCCATGTCTCGTTAGCCCTGATTTGCCCCAACTGTGTTTCCCTCCTGTCTCTCATTCCCTGATTGCTCCCTCTGTGTGTTTAAGCCTTGTGTTTCTCTGTCAGTGTCGTGATCTACTATTATTCTGTACTGCCTGCCTGCCTGCCTGCCTGCCTGCCTCGTTTTTGATATATATATATTTTTTTTAACTTAGTTATGGTTTTCAGCAAAGCTGCTTCAAGTCTACTTTTTATCTCCAAGAGTCTGCACTTTGGGTCCACCAATCCTACCTGCACGCAGCCTTTACTTGACATGCTGGCTATTGATTGCTAATATTACCCTATGGTAGCTAGGAAAGTCTGGCCCCCGCGTCCTGACAACAATAGCTAAAAAAATATGGATTGGTGGATGGATCTGAACTTTAGTGCATTATGTGTTATTTTACTTCACTTCACACAAAAAAATAATAATTTTAGGCATGCAGAAAATTTCTGAAACCTACAATTTCACACACACAGTGTTATTGAACATATTTAAAATATATGAGTTTTTTTATGTTTTTAAGAAAAGTTTTGGCTCCATTCATTCTCTCTTTTGGCTGCAGATCATCAACATGACGGCTGCCAGCTATCTTCTGACTCATTGTGTGGCTTCACGTTGTGTGGCTTCACGTTAGTCTCTCAACAAGTTTCTAGTTTGAGTCTGCTGCATTATTGTGTGTCTGACGGCTTCCCTGTCTTCTCCTGTCCCCAGGAGTTACGGGGAGACGAGAGGACAGCGAGCACGGGGTGCTCATCACGGAGAAGCGGAGACAGGAGCACTAGCACTGGGAAGAGGACACGTCATGGGAGTCGGGAGAGCACGGGATTTATTGTCATGTCTGTCCATCACTGTAAATAAAGGCACTGCTTGTACATAGAGCACCGCGCCTGGGTCCTCCTTCCCTACACCTCCACGGTCTGCCAGCCAGACGGTGACAAAAGGTCAGTACAATTTCAGTTACCATAAGATAAAGGCAGATTGTAAGATGAAGTAATCACTGTTTGTAATGTGGCTGCTGGAGGCTGTGTGAGTTTCTACAGCAGAGAAGTACAATGTGTTCCGTGAGAAAGTTACATTTACATGGTCACATTCCTTTTACGTTTTCTCTCTTGGCTGCAGATCATCAACATGACGGCTGCCAGCTATCTTCTGACTGAAGAGCAGCTTTTGTGCTGCATCTGTCTGGACGTGTTCAGGGATCCCGTCACACTCCCATGTGGACACAACTTCTGCAAAGACTGCATCACGGAACATTTAAATTTTAATTCCCAGCGCAAGTGTCCCATGTGCAAAGAGCAGGTGGATAGGAAATATAAGCTTGGTGTGAATACTTTCATATCTGAGATGGCTGTTCAGTTTAGAAAAACTGTTGGAAAGAAAGCTGATGATAGCTCAGAGCAACACAATGCCATACAAGAAAAAGGTTCTTATGATGCTCCTGCTGCACCTAAACGGACATCGCTGAAGTCCTGCCTGTTCATAATTCTTAGCTTAACCTTTCTTACACTCTTCTTTGTAGCTAATCTACATTTTCATCAAACAGTGTCCATCTTAAAATCTCACAAGCTGTTTAATTCTGTGGAGAAAGAAGAAGACAGGATGTGTGCTGAGCATGGCAAACCTTTGGACTTCTATTGCAAGAATGAACAAATGATCATATGTCAGTCATGTGTGGACGCAGATCACAGATTTCACCGGGTAGTTCCCCTGAAAGAGGAATATGAAGCAAAAAAAACACAACTTGGGATAACAGAGGCTAAAATTCTCCACATGATCCAAGAGAGACAAAGAAAAGTCCACGAGCTCAAACAATCTTTAAAGCTCAGCACAGAAGCTGCAGACAGAGAGACAGCAAATGGTGTTCGGGTCTTCTCGGCTCTGATTAAGTCTCTGGAAAGAGCTCAGGCAGAGCTAATCGAGATGACTGAAGAGAACCAGAAAAGGACAGAGAAACAGACCAAAGTTTATATCACAGAGCTGGAGCAGGAGGCCTTTGAGCTGACAAGGAGACGTGATGAGATGGAGGAACTCTCACGCTCTAAAGACCGTCTTCGTTTCCTCCAGAGCTTCCCGTCCCTGAATGCTGCTCCACCCACCAAAGACTGGACAGATGTCAGCATCTGTCCAGCAATATACGAGGGAATCACAAGGACAGCTTTGGTGAAAGCTGTGGATGAGCTGACAGAGACCATCAAGAATGAGGTGAAGATGATACGGGACGCTCAGTTCAACAACATTCGGCAGAATGCGGTGGATGTTACTTTGGATCCCGATACGGCACATCCTGCTCTCATCCTGTCCAATGATGGGAAGCAAGTGCATTGTGGTGATGAATGGAAGGAACTGCCAGACAGCTCAAAAAGATTTGAACCTGCAATTTCTGTTTTAGGGACACGAGGCTTCTCCTGTGGAAGACTTTACTATGACGTCCAGGTTAAAGGAAAGACTGGGTGGACGTTAGGAGTGGCCAAAGGGTCGGTCAATAGGAAGGGAGAAATTAAACTTAACCCAGAGAACGGCTACTGGGCTATATATCTGAGGGACAGAAATGAGTACTTTGCACTTGCTGCCGATCCTGTCCCTCTCTCTGTGAATGATCACCCAGAGAAGGTGAGAGTTTTTGTGGATTATGAGGAGGGTTTGGTTTCCTTTTATGATGTAAATGCTGCAGTTCTTCTTCACTCATATACTGGCCAAACCTTCACAGAGAAACTTTATCCATTTTTCAGTCCTGGTAGTAGTGACAGTGGCACAAACACTGCCCCCCTAATCATCACTCGTGTCAAACAGCAAAGATCGGACTAATTTTTTATTTTTTTTAACTATTTGGTTGTTTGGATGTAATTTTGTTTTAGTTGGTGGTTCTTAAGGGTATACTCTTGGTTTTAGGTTTAAAGGAGGCTCACTAACATCAATGTTTCACTTAGAAAAGCTGACATTTAGAAAGAAATTATTTCAAAGGAATTTTTTATTCAGGTAAATGTATTTATTTTCGGTTTATTTTAGAAAGGAGTATAGGAGTAGGAGTATTTTGGAAGAAATTAAAACTGTATAAATAAACTTTAATGAGCATCTTAACGCCCCCTGTTTACATTGAAATTAAACTTTGTTATTATGGATTTGTGCTATATTGTAAATATCATACCATAAAATAACATGTACACGAAATACACTAAAAAAGGGCTGTTTGGGATTTTGACAGCTATGTTCTGTTGTTCCAGGTTTGCAGCATTATGTTGTCATGGTTACAGGTGACGCTCTTTTTTTGTTGTTATGCTAGAGCTGCGCCAAGTGGTTGTGTTAGTGTTAGTCTGTTGAATGCTAAACGGCTGTGCTCCCTGGCTAACACTGCAGGATGCCAGACTGGACATTACCTCTGTCTCCTCCTTGTCTGAGCTCGCCACATTGGTGTCAGAAGTGGGATAGTTCACCCTCGCCAGAATGGAGAGAGATATTCAGAGGCTGGAGCAAGCCGTCGAGGAGCAGCGGCCCGCTGCAACAAACGCTAGGACAATGCTTCGTGGGCTGCCTCTGGCAACCAATAGGCCAAGCCCCCGACAGCAAGCAGTGATGCCTACAACGCCAGCTAAGGTACCGAAATACAACGGGCTAACTCCGCTAGAGCCCTACCTCTCACAAGTATGGCTAGCTGCGAGGCATAGTGGCTGGAGCGACGAAGAGGCTGCTACACACCTAGCGCTAGCGTTGGAAGGAGATGCACTGCAGGTACTCCTTGACCTAGCCCGGCAGATCAGCATGAGCTCCAGGCCCTCACCATGGCACTCGAGAGGTGATTTGGGCAGCGGCACTCCACTGATCAGAGCAGGGAGCAGCTGACCAACCGGAGCCACTGGACAGGGGAGAGCCTGGGCACCTTTGCAGCTGATGTGTTGCTATATGCTCGTCATGGCTACCCGGAGTTCCCAGCAGCAGCTTAGCCTGCATGCTTTTCTGCGAGGACTCTTTCCAGAGCGACTGCGCCAACACGTCCGCCTGGCCATGCCTCGAACTCTCTGTGAGGCGCTCCTTGAGGCTGAAAGGGCTGAGCTGGTGCTCGCCTCGTGACCTAACCAGCAGGTGACCCCCCCAAATCAGAGCCTCAGACTGCCACAGGGAGGGATAGGCTGCGGAGATATTCCAGCTGCAGCCCTCGGTGCCCCAGAGGCATCCCCGTTGATCGACCGGCCGCTGCTACCGGTGCGATGAGCCTGGCCACCTGGCGCGTGACTACCTGGCGCCCACCCCGAAGACCAGAACTACGTGGCCTCAGGGAAACGAGAGGGGGAGCGGTGTAGCGAGGGGACCACTGCTCCAGCTTCCTGCCCCCCTCCAAGAATGATGCACGGTGTTGGGCCTAGTTGGCCACATCAAGGGACTCTACCTGAGCTGCTGTGTTGAGGATCAGCCCTGCCGGGCCCTGGTGGATGCGGGGGTCTACCATTTCCCTAATACGACCTGGGGTGCTCCCTGGGACGTCCGGGCCGCTTGTGATGGGTTGGTCACCCACTGACACCCAGCTGATGACAGTGACGGGGGAGAGGACTGACATGCAGGGGAAGAAACGTTGCGGATCCGAGTGAAGGATGTGGAGGTGGTGCATGACTTCTGGCTTGCTGACATCCAAGACCAGTGCATCATCGGCCTTGATCTGCTGACCTGCTGGGGGGCCTGCATTGACACCGCGAAGCTGGCGATCACTCTTGGTACAGAGACTCTGGCCCTCCAGTGCAGTCAAAAGCAGGGAACAGAGGGAACCAGAGACAGACAAGCCGGGCTTCAGGCAGCTGCCACTCAACAGACTTCGGACGCCGGTGGCTCTGGACCATCTCTACTCACCTCAGCCCCAGTCTCTAGGCCCGACAAACCTCCTTCGACCAAGACAACCCAAGCTGTTGATGACCTGTGGCCGCGCCAGCGGTTGAGGTGCCTCCTGGACAAGAATGTGGACATCATTGCCGCTAGTGACAGAGACTTCAGGCAGATGCGGCTGGTTCAGCACACCATCGACACCGGCTCTGCTCAACCCATCTGTCTGCGCCCACACCAGCTGCCCTTCTTGAAATGACTGGGGGAGTGGGCCCAGGAGGCACTGGGCGTGGCTACTGATCGGGCCACAACAAGCGGAGAGGGATGGCTCTCGTTGACCATGCAGCAGCTGAAGCGGGAGCAGGAGGCTGATGCGAGGTTGGTTTAAGTGGGGGCCTGGCTGGAGGCGGCACAACGCCCAGACTAGACATGGGTATCAGGACAGGGGCCCAAAGTGAAGGCCTACTACTCCCAGTACAATAATCTGGAGACCCACGACAGCCTCCTATACCGGACATGGTGGGCAGCCGGTCAGGGCAAGGGTCTCCTGCAGCTGTTGGTGCCTTGGTCGCTGCGGTCACAGGTGCTCGAGCTTGTCCACGGCTTATGGGGCCCGGCCACTATGGGAGTGCCAAAACTCTCCGTCATCTCAGGGGATGGTTCTACTGGCCTTCATGTGCACTGCTGTGACACCTGCACGGCACGAAAGGGCCCCACTTAATGCTCCACTGCCCCCCTGCAGCAGCACCGGGTGGGGGCCCCGATGGAGAGAGTGGGAGTGGACGTCCTAGGGCCTTTCCGAATCGAGTGTTCGTCTGTTGAATGCTAATAAACGGCTGTGCTCCCTGCTAAAACTGCGGGAAGCCAGACCAGACGTTACCTCTGTCTCCTCCTTGTCTGAGCTCACCACAATATTGATGTTTCTTTATTTTACTGTATTTTCAATATAGGTACTATTAAGTATTGCTAAGTATTTTAAAGTAAAACTTAAAGCATAAGTCTTGGGCATTATTAAGAAGTATTATTTATATAGATATTTTGTACCACATACTGAAAAAAAGTTTATTTTGTAGCATGAAAGCCACATACATGTCCTCATTGCTCTTTACAGACCCACTAGTAATATAACGTTGAATTTTTTTTATATATATTATAATAAAAGTGTGAATATAAACATTTGAGCGTTTTTGTCACTCCGGCTGCAAGATGAATTTGGAAGGGGGTGCCAATAGTACTACAGTCCCAATCAAAAGTTTAAGACGACTCAATTAAAAATAAAAGCCAAAAAATGTAATCTTTTGCATGGTTGGATCTGAACAAGGTTGCAAGTAGAGCCTCAACACTCATCAAGAAGAAATGGGAGTGAGACAAAACATTTTGAGGATGCAATTTATTGAAAACAATGCTTAAACTAAAACAGGCTAGCCTGTTTGGCGCCCTGGGCAAACACTCCCTCTGGCGCCCCCCCACCCCCCGCCGCCACACACACACACACACAAAATATATTAAGGATTGTACATTAACATAAAACTGTTGTCGGAACCACACACACACATGAAGTACATATGTGTATGCATTGTATGCATTGTATGCAAACGGCTACCAAACAGCCATCATAATACATCATAGAATGAGAACAGGACAAATCAAAAACTGACAATGACTAATTAATATTAAAATCTGTAACATAATGTTTGGAGTTTAGTCTGTTACTGTTGCTATATTTACCATTTCTTCTTGGAGCAACTGTAATGCACATTATTTAGGGATTAATAAAGTATTCTGATTCTGATTGTTTCAGGATGACCTGCCATTATCCAACGACACATCTGCTTACCTGTATCTTTTGCTCGTTTTTCCTCCTCTTCTTTTCTATTTTTTCTAAACTGAGCACCTGATGACTTTGAACTTGTCTTGTCCATCTTCCATTGGTTTTAATTTTGCACTCCAGTATGAACACAAGTCCCCCAACTCCAGGATCACCACAGCATAACCTAATAGACCTACAGCTTAGTTCACAGATTCACTTTGTCTAGGGTTTATTTCTGGGATTTCACACAACCCAGGATTCAAATCATGAATACATAAAGGGCTTGGATTTACATCATTATGAATGAAATTTGCTCTATTTGGAAGCAGCCGCCCCCCTCCCCTGTGTGTAAGACTTTAAATCATCAAACTGTAAATTATACATTTTAAATTGTTATTGATCCCTTTACCCCAAGTCCTAAAGTGTATATTTATTTTCTTATTCTTCTTATATTTATCGTTTGTTTTCTTGCACTGCTGTAACTGGAGCCTCATCGTCTCGTCTCTCTATATACTGGACTGTATGTAGCAGAGATGACTATAAAGTTTATTTTGACTTCAGCAGCGAGCAGGTGCACCGAGGGCTCTCGCGCTCACTTTTCGTGTATAGAATTTCGAAAAAACATCGGTGAAAATAATAAGTCAGTATTATAATGTCTGGTGTTTTCGTGTTTGTTGGTTTGTTTTTATTTTGTTTTATTTTGTGAGTTGGTTATTAGATGCTGCCCCCGCCGCCCCGCCCTCTCCTCTCTGTGCAGCAAGCAGCAGGCGCACCTTGCAAACGAAGGGCGCCCTTACTCCCAGCAAATGGGCGATAGAAAGCCGATCGGTGCCTATGCCATTCCCAATATTCGCTGGCTGATGTTGGAGCAGCATAAGTACGAGCAATTTTTTATTTTGCCGATGACCGTGATGCCGCTCCGCGCCACGATACCGCCCCGGGCAACCGCCCGTGTCGCCCGTATCAAAAACCGCTACTGCTACCTGGAGTTGTTACTACAGCTTAGAACTGAATTGGTAAAAGGAAATGTTGAAAGCCAGGACAATTTTTGTATGATGCAAGTTTATCTAGGAAAGGCAACCCAAACAGTAACAAACTGCACTTCTGTCTATGTCTCGTACCAATGATATGTCCAAACAGGAAAAACTGTTCTATCCAAAACAGTCAGGGGGTTTGTTTGTTGTTTTTTTCTTACAGTGTACATAGTTGGCAATAAAACTCGGTGTTTCGCTCCCACTTAAACCCATTTCTCCTCCAAACTGTGAAGGAGCCTCTCCACAAAGGGGTTTACTGATCTAGCTATGACAGTCTTAGGACAGGGGTCTCGAATTCCAGTCCTCGAGGGCCGGTGTCCTGAAACTTTTCCATGTGTCCCTGTTGCAACTAGGGATGGGTACCAGGTAATGGCACCGGTTCTGACATAAACGGTAGTAACCAGACCAAAAAGCAGCGCACATTTCGATGCTTTATTTCGGTGCTTTTTTTTTCCTGAAATGTCATACACTTTGGATTCCAGCCAATCATTTTACCTTTGCAAGCGTAGTAGGCGGGCCCAGATACATACGTTCTTTTGTAGCAGAGCTACAGATTAAAAATGCCCAAGGCGAAGCGTGGCTGTACTTCACAGCAAAAGATGCAAACTCAGCAGCCAGCAACAAGTGCTTTAAGGTGACACTGTGTAAAGGAGGTCACTCCTCGAATCTGATGAAACACCTGGCGACGTATAGCATTTTGTTAAAAGCCGAGAAATGCGCCGTATTTGATAGCTTGCTGTGAGACCTCACACATCTACTGCGCGTGGGTTGCCTGTTATCTGATCCGGAGTTAGCAACATCCCCCAAAAACCCGAAGAGGAGAGTCCTGGCCCCTAGCCCTGCCAGTGTAGCAGAAATGATGACGGATGATGATGGCAGCAGCAGCCGTTCTTCTCTGCGTGAGTAGCTTAATGTTGTTCGTGTGTAATTTACGTTGAGTAGGCTAACCACGTTATTACATTAATGCATGTAAGGTGAACTAGCAAACACCATCATAGCTACATGCGGCTGTCTTCTTGTTTGATGGCAGATACTCCCTTCACCCTGGCCAAAAAGGCTAAAATGACCAAAGAAAAAGTGGAAAACAGCTAAACATGAGAGGTTTTTGGACAAAGTTTGTGTTTTTTCCATTGTTTAAGCACTGCTTCCAGCCAAGAGTGATACCATATATGCCCCATAGCTGCAGAAAAGGCTAACATTGTTATCTTTTTACAAAAAAACAGCTGAACATGAGAGGTTTTTGGACCAATTTTGTGTTCTCCATTCTTTAAGCACCGGTTCGAGCACCGTTTAAGCACCGGCACCGTTTCAAAAGTACCGGTTTGGCACCGGTATCGGATAAAACCTAAACGATACACATCCCTAGTTGCAACACACCTGAATACAATTAGTAGGTCATTAGCAAGACTGTAGAACTTGACTGCATGCTGAGGTGGCAGTTCAGACATTTCATGTTACAGTAGCTCATGAGTGAATGAACATGGTGCAATAAAAGTACTTTTAGAAGTAAATTTTTCTAAACACTTACATTTACTTAAATTTACTTGAGTAGGGTTAGGGGTTGCCGCTTCAGCATGCAGTCAAGTTCTATAGTCTTGCTAACGACCTACTAATTTTTTTTCAGGTGTGTTGCAACAGGAACACATGGAAATGTTTTGGGACAACAGCCCTCGAGGACTGGAGTTTAAGACCCCTGTCCTAGGAGAACTCCACCAACCTCTCTCTTGGAAAATGTGACCAAATTCGGTTATGTCCCTAGTCGCTGAGTTTTAGGATATAATCTACCTTTTACAGTGGTATTTCTTCAAGCACTTCTTGTGAGCCATACATTTTGCCAGACTAACTTGAGTGCAGCTGAACACGTGCAGAACACAGATTGGCCAGACCATTTTCTCTGGGTGGTTTGCCTGACTCATCCTTACTGTATTATCTTCAGCTGTTTTATTATGTTCAGGTTTTGCGCTGTGCTCTTATTCTTCTACCAGCCTGTCCTTGCAATGAATTTTTATCTTCAAAGCTAGACAGACAGCTCACATATTAAACTTGTCCATTTTTGTTTAAATTTTCTTGCACTGTAAAAATGCAAATATACACAGAATGTGTATATGAGTTTTAGTTCATTAACTGTTAAATGTCGAACATTAAATATAAAAACCATTAAGAAATGTTGTAAACTGAAAGTAAGCAAAAAGAAGGTAAAACAAAACAAAACATTAAGTTGCCCTGAATAGCAATATATCTCACAATTTACATGCCCATATGGCATGTCCTAACTCCCCTAATGTCCTAATTCAACTTAATACCATTGAATAATTTCAGAGTTAATAACCAGCTAAAATTTAAATTGTCTCTTACTCTGTTACACTGACTATGAACACCACAGCCACCGTGCAGTAAAAGTGAAAAGCCATAAGTAAAATACTCAAGTATAGTACGTATACCTGATAATCTTGGATAAGTACAGTAAAAAAATGAACTTTGTTACTTCTCCCCTCTGTGTATGAGCGAGAAAAAAGTTAATTCATACAGATTTACTTCTTACAGACATTAGGGCTCCAATTTTAAGCCGCTCCTTTTTTCAGTTGTGTGGGTTCAGGATAGTTTTTCATTATTGATTTAGTTACAGTGGTCATGCACCTGACTGTTTAAATGTCATAGTGAGGAGGGAAAAGGAGGGAATGTGTGTGTCATAAATAAATATTTGTTTGGTTGTTTTCTTTTTTATCTACTGTGACACTCCCTGCATTCAAATGTAAGTCCTTACCTGTGAGGTAAATACCAAACAAAACTGAATTTCATGGCAAGTGCCTCACTTCTTCCTCACAAAGCCGAGCCACAAACTACAGACCACACCCTGCTGTCACAGGTGGATTTAAAAGTTGAAGCTAACACTTGGCTGAACTGAAAATAATCTGTGGCAGCAGCTGTGGAATGCTTGCTGCATTTAAAAGCTAATCCTAACCTGTCTGGTAAGTGTCAAGAAAACCCATCAGATAAGTATGATCAGATAGGCAGCCGGTGTGCAGTTGGTTCCTAGGGTGAGGCCCGACGAGCCTCAGTTCACGCTTGCACTCGAAACAGTTTCTCACATCGAGCTGCCTGGCGTCCAGCAGGTTCCTGCACCTGTCCCGGTTCCTAGGATGGGAACGCTTCCTGTCACTTAAATAACTCGATCTAAAACTACCTCTCTGACACCATAACGTTCCAGTTTTCTTATTAATATGTCATGATGTATCGTGTCAAATGCCTTTGTCAAGTCTATGAATAACCCAACTACATATTGCTTTTTGTGATGTATTCTATTGAATCTAATAGTGCCAATGATGTTGATCTGCTTGATCTGAATCCGTACTGACTCTTGGTGAGTAGTTTATGTTTATCTATAAATTTTTCCAGGCGGTTGTTAAACAGTTTTTCAGGAATTTTTGAGAATTGAGGTAGTAAAGAGACAGGCCTGTAGTTTGTGAAATGGTGTCTGTTGCCAGATTTGTATAGAGGTATAACTTTTGCTATTTTCATTCTGTCTGGAAATTGACCAGTTTGAAATGATAACTTACAGATGTA